TACGAAACGATCTTTACCGAATCTTAAACATAAGAGGCAAGTTTACGACACATAATTGACAAAAATTTAATCCTTCTAAAAAGTCGGGACTTTTTAAAACGCTGCGGGACGCGGGACGAATTATTAAAAATCGGGACTGTCCTGCCAAAAGCGGACATCTGGTCACCTTAACAACGATTTTTATTTATTATTTTTTTACGATTGTCAGGATTTTTTGCATCACTAATAAATATCACGAGCTTTTTCATGTGGTATTTTCCAATAATATTCATTTACAATACATTATTTTTTCTGAACCTTTGTCTGTTTGCACCGGAAACGAGTATACTAAACAGAAACTACTTTTAGATGCTCAATATAAAACAGGTGCTGTTTTTTCTAGTAAATGAATAAGTTGGGAATTTCCCGGAAGTAAATTTACGTCCTTACACCGTATTTTAATATTGATTTAGTTTAAGATTTTGTTATAAAGTATATTTCCAGTGAAATACAATCGCTTTGCGTAGGATTCTGTGAAAAAAAGCAGTTCATCGTGTACAAAGCTTGTTAATTCCGTGTTTTTTTAGTTGTTGAAGTTTCAGGAATGCAACAGCTGATGTCCGAGATTGCGTAACGCTACGTAACAGTAACCAAATACTCAGAAAGTTGTTTTTATAGGACCTGTTGGACTTCTCTTGTCATCATGCCATCTAAAAAACCATGTATTTGATAATTATTAATTATCAAATAAATAAATAATCTTAGTAATTTATTAAGTAAAATTAAACCATTTTTAAATTATCAATCATTTTAGGAAAGATTGATGTTATCTACAACATCCATGATACAGTCGACCCCCCTATAATTACGGTCCCTATAGTTACGATTCCTATAAAACTACGAAAAAATTGCTACCGGTATCCGTAAAAAATAGTAAAAGTTCCCTATAAACACCTCAAACGTCATCGNTATATATTTATTTATTTATTTATGCATTTAAACTCTACTTTATAATTAATTTTATTTCATTTCAAAACAGAATTGGTCTGCGAGATAATGGAATGAACAAAGGTAAAATTCGTTAAAAGCAAGAAAATCTCCCGAAATGTTAAATGACCCGTGGGTAATAGTTCATAGAAAAAGAATTAGGACATTGTCTCCCGATCGTACTAGTGTTGGGAACAAATCAGTTAGAAAAAGCCGATTACTCGAGTGAATTCGAACAGAAAAGAAATTCGAACAGTGGAATTTCTATATGTTTTATATGCAAACGAATTTCAAATTTTTACATATATTGCAAAAAATAACCCGATGTCATCTGTTTATACCTCTAAGAATTTTTCTGACAATAAGAGTTAATGTAGTGTCCAACTGAAACTTGTGGGGGGTCTGCAGATTTTGATTCCTAGAAAGGCGAAAGGAAATTTCTATTCTTATTTACATCTTTTATTGATAAAGAATTATTGTACGTACTTTATTTGTTTAAAATTTTAACTTAAATAAACTAATTAACATTCATCTATGAACGAAACTAAATAGAACCTGGAATATTCATGTGAACACCTGTTTTATTGCAGGGTCAAATTCTTGTGGTTAATGGGGACACAAATTCGTTCACAGAAAGAGAGTTAGGACAGATTTATTAACCTCTTGGGTGTCATGTGTCATATATGACACACAATTCAGCTTCCAAAGAATGAGAAGCAGCTCTGCCTTTTCTGTCTGCTAAACAATTATATGAGTTATTCGTTTTGTCACCAGAGTTTAGTGAAGCTTATTAGACTACATGCATCCCACTGTGACAGTCACAATAGAAAATATAAGTGATTGACTAAGCATGTTTTCTCGGAAGTGATCATAAGTATGACTGCTTGATGTCAGTATTCAGTTTTGGCATGGGCAGAGAGAACATTTTTTGAAAGCTTGTCAAATAATGAATAAAAGGAGAAATAGAATAAAACCAGAAAAAGCACATACTGTATTTTTTTAATAGAAAGTTGTAATATAAAAATTTATAGTCATTTTCATATTTACAGTCTTTGAAATAATATTTAAAATTATATTAACATGTTCAGTTTATTATTTTAACAAATAATAACGTTAAAAACAGTAGTTTCATGATAAATTATTTATTTCATTATAACTTTCACAATTTAATGATGTTATTTCAAATTGCAATATTTCGCGCTCAGAATCGATTTGTTTCTTATTTATTACAAATGTATGACTAAGATTGTTGTGTTTCAAAATTTTACTTAGAATCCTACTATAATTGTTTCTATAATTAAATATATAGGCATATAAATAACAAAATTGAATGTAAAATTTATAATCGAACTTTTCAGGAAAAATAATAGAAAAATTAAGCAAATTAAGCGTTTAGATTGTTAACTGTAGCAAGGGTAGAAATAAAAATAGATATATGCATTCTTTCAACCAGTAAAGGAATCGGGAAGGTGTCAAATATATCTTTAAACCCTAGTGTATTAATTAATTAATTTAACTGACGAATCAACTGCTAAGATTATGGATTTCGGGCCACTTTGTCGACGCGTAACGTTACGCGTAACTTTAGTTAAACATGCGAATACATAATAAATAAGAAAGTTTTGTCATCCAGACTTCATCAAAATCTCTTCAGGATTCTTTAATAAACAGTTCTTTGATAATATACGAAGTACTTTAATAAAATTTTAATTTAAATTACNAAGTCTAGAATTTACAGTTTACTTTTAGCAAGAAACTTTAGAGGATTATTCAAGAATTTTCTCTTAATTAGAATCCGCCAGTAGACAAGAAAGCCTATATAAAACCATTGAATACTGGTCGTGGGTTCGCACCTGACAAACTGGCCGTGTGTTTTTGAGTTTTCTTCACATGTCTAACACCTAAATAGGGGCCTGTTTCCCGTAGAAAGCCCTCCTGGGAGGTACCCATTCGTCATCTATTCCTTATGTAGGTATAAAATATAATCAAAAATTTTATCAAAGAAGTGCTCATAGATAATTAAAATATATTAAAATTATACAAGAAAATATAAATCATTGTGGTTCATTTGACGACCATAGATTTAGAATATAATAAAATGTGTTAAACATGTTAAAGTATAGAAAACGTCATTCGTTTACCTACCAAACAATTTTCCAAATGTTTAAAGGATTTCACGGTAAGCGCACAGCAGGGATAATATATTAATATTAAGATGCAATTATTTATCCAAATTTATTATTTATCAGCAAAAGATTCTTTAAATATCAACTTAGCAGATTATAAAGAGTTAATTTACATTATTCATTTTAATATAAATTATATTTGAAACATCTCAAATTAATTGCGAAATATACTAAGAATTGAAGAAGGAAAAAATCAACAATATTTCTAGTTAAGAATTAAGAATTAAATATTTCAACACTTTTGCATTACTTGAAAATATTTTTAATGTTCTATGCATGATACTAAATTATAAATGCTATTATAAATCTTTAAAAAATGACCAACTTTTTTAAATATTAATCTTATTTATTTTAATTTGTACATGCAAATTGAGTATTAAAAGGACAGTATATAGAGTGACGAGAAGAGATGAAAGTACACTTATAATTTATTAACCCTCTGACTTATATTTGGAAATTTTAAATGCTTTTTAACTTAAATTATTATTTATAATTATATTATATTATATAAATATATTGTTTTCTAGTTATGAAGGTGGAGGAATGTTATATTCTTAGAAGATAAAACGTCTATCAAGAAGTTTTGACTATATTTTTGTTAATAGAAACTAAATAAATTTTTAATCAAATATTTAGATTTTTAAAGCGCTTTATTTTAATTAATATTTCAATTCCCAGAACGTTAATAAATTAATTAAAAGCATACAAATAAAATTTTAATATCGAATTTTGTTGTAACATAGTTTATTATAATTAAAATATACGAAAAATTAAAATATATTTCCGGGCGCTTTCGAGCATTGCTCCAAGATAAATAACGTTCTATATTTTAAAAATTACCATGATAAGAGTAAAATGTTGAAGTAATTTTCCTCCTATCTACACTCTAAACGTCTAGAAACAGGTTTAATTTAATTCAGTAATTTTAATTTATTTAAATTTTATTAAAACAAGCTTTTATTGGCCGCGTTTTTCGAGAGTGATAGTAGAGTTGATTGGGGTGGCCCCATCCCCAAGTATATACAAGATATATACATATACACACATGATTAAATTCTACATTTACTTATGTTTATCGGGTTTGGGAATGGAGAAAATGGTAGGGATGGACCACCTCATAAAACATAATGCATTATCATTGAAGTTAGATATGCTCTCATAGTTTCAGCCTTGTATCTTAACTAGAAGTGGAGGAAATTTGAGTTGCAAGATTTAAGTGCATGATACAAAAGCATGTTAAATAAAAGAATTTAATTAATATTAATAAAGCGCCCAAGTCTACTAAAATGTACTTTAAGGAAATATACGCTGTTTAACTTCAATTTTAGCAGAAAAATTAACTAGTTCAGTATTATGTAAACGCTATAAAATTCACTTAATACGTCCTTCTGCTACGATGAGAATAAATAAGTAATATAATGCTCCAATTTCATCAATGATATTTGATGCAACACAGAAAAACCATGAAAATCAATGAAAATAAATGACATAAATAGGCCAAAGTAATAGAAAATTCTTTTCTATTTTTAATATATCTCTTATCAAAATTTTATATTTACTCTCAACGATATTCAAGAAACTTAAGTGCTCTCTCTGAAAGTAATTTTCTTCTATTATTTTCCATAAGAGGATTAATTAAAGCTAATTATTTAGAAGCTCCTTATTTTAATTAATACATTAATCACACGTGTATGGTCCATATTTAACCTATATTTTAAAATAAAATATTCAATTTGACTAATTAAGAACTTAGAGGGCGTTGGTTTAGTCTCACGCCAAGATTTTAAAACAAAATATTCAATTTGACTAATTAAGAACTTAGAGGGCGTTGGTTTAGTCTCACGCCAAGACATTTCAGTAAAAGATTCAATTTGAAAAATGTTGGAGTTTTTGAAATTTGATGAAGTAAAGAACTTAGTGAGGATAAACAGAATAGAAATAGATAGCATGGTATTTCGTCTCCATTATATTTATACTGTGGTTATATTACTCCTTTTCTGCGCCATTCTATCAGCAACGCAATATGTCGGTGAACCCATTCTCTGCATGGAAAGAAAAAACATCGATAAACACGTGATGGATACTTACTGTTGGATTCACGGCACATTTACAGTAAAGAAGCCAAATATGAGCGAAGAAGGAAGCATTTTTCCCGGAATCAATTCAAAATATGAAAACCAAAAGCATTACTATCAGCATACATATTATCAATGGGTTTGCTTCTTCCTGTTCTTTCAGTCTGTCCTCTTTTACGTGCCAAGACGGATTTGGAAACACTGCGAAGGTGGATTAATTCAAGCTTTGAGTCTGAAGAGTGACAACATTATGTACGAAGAAACTCAGAAGCAACAAAATATTGCTGCCGTAGTTAAGTTCTTACACGAAAGTATGGGATGTCACAGTTGTTACGCTCTTCGTTATTTTGTTAGTGAATTACTGTGTCTAATTAATGCCATTTCTCAAATGTATTTGGTTAATGTATTTTTAAATGGCGAATTCTTAAAGTACGGAATAGAAGTAATTAAATATAACATGAACGATGATGATAATTTAATAAATCCCATGCTAGAAACGTTCCCGAGGATGAGCAAATGTTTTTTTTACTATTATGGATCGTCCGGTAATATAATAAAAATTGATAATTTGTGTATGTTACCTTTAAATGTAATTAACGAAAAGATTTTTATATTTTTATGGTTCTGGTTTATCATTTTAATTTTATTGAGTGCCATATCTGTCATATACCGTATTATTTTAATAATAAGTGGAAAGATGAGATTGTATATCTTATCCATACGTTACAGGCTTGTACGGGAAACTTATTTGGAATTGTTAATTAAGCGATTGTCTGTAGGAGATTGGTTCATCGTATATATGCTTGGTAAGAATATTGACAGATTTATTTTAACCGACATTCTATGCGAATTTTGGAAACGAGTTAATGGAATGGCAGAAAATGCCTGAATTTTAGCCTCTGTTGTTATGTGAATTACAAATTTAGTAATTCATTTTACTTTATTCATTATTATTAATAGTTTTTTTTAAAGTAATGTTTAAAAAATGGCAATTTGTAATTTTTAGTTTATATTATTAATTTTTATTATTAAAACTATGAAAAGTTTTTAACTTGTTTATAAATGTTACTTTATAATACTCTATATGTGGAGTTTAAGGCCTTATAATATACCATAATGAGTAAAATATGGCAATAAGGCTTAGTAATATGAGATTCTAATTGAGATGTTGGAAAAATGTTTCTCTTTTTTTTTAATAAGTTATAATTTTTGTAAAAGACAGAAATGTTTAATGTGATAAATTCTTTTCAAATAAAGTTCTATCATTAAAAATTATTAAACAAGTTTTAAATTAATATTTTTTTCTTCTATGCAACATATTTAATACAAAATTTTTTGTTAACAGTAGAGAAGTTACGACTTCGAATATTTATTATATATTATTGTCTTGGGCGTTGTTTATAGGTTCAAATTCAATTAACGTAAAACAAAATAAACTTTAAATGCATGTGTGAAGACACAAGGTACGATAAGTCGATAAGCGTTGCTCTAATACATATGTCCCGTCTATTGTTATAAAATATTTTATTTCCAAACAAAAAGTTTCTATGTAGTATTAGTTGTACATCTTACAGACAGTAATTTATATTTTATTGTTATATAACTTTACATCTTAATATTAGAGAGATTAGTTATATGAAACATAGATGTTTGTAAATTTAGATAATACATTTATTGTTTTATATGCATTTAGTCTGAATTTTAAATAATTCGGTTATTTATTATTTTATTTGTTTTTACGAAGTTAATATCGAAAAATAAATCGTTGTCAAATATTAACTCGGTTTTAAGTATAGAACGTTCCGATGTTACGAAAGCGTAACTAACACAGTTCGTCAAACTGTGATCCCAGCTTTTCGAAGTGACAAAACAGTTAATTACGTGTTAATAATAAGACAGTGTTGCTCAGATAAAAGAATTATATGATTTAATATTGATTTTTACGGTACCAAGTGCTGTTTTTCAATTATGAAGCGAATCCTTGATATATTTTATGGATCTTCCGAAAATATGTCAATTCTAAAGAAATGTTGTCACTGTATGACATGGCATAAAGGCGTTTGTTGATTGGATGCGCGTTTGCAATCGTCGCGAGTAGAACAAACTTTTTGTTTCTAGTTGCGATTGCAGTCGCGCCGGTTTTCGAGGGGTATTACTAGTTAACGGGAACAGCCGTCGCGGTTGCAGTCGCCTGCGCGGCTGGAAATCGCATAGTTTGACCAGGGCTTAACGCAGAATTCATGCTAAATCTAGTTATGCCGCAATGTTGAACTCGTTTCTAACTACTGCTTGACTCCTCCTATCACTAGCTTCTTTTATGTATTCTTAGCTCCGCCCACTAAGCCACTCAGAACTTAGGTGTTCTACGTTACTGAACACGACCCAGGTTAAAACATCGAAATATATAAAAATATTTATAACAATGTATGAAATATTATCAATTTAAGGGAAAGTATGGAAATCAATATCGAAAGCCGTTCTTGTGGTTAAGCATTAATGCTCTCCCTCTCCCCCTCCCTTAATAACGCGCCCATAAAACCATTAAATTGCCACTTATGGTCTAAACTCGTTCAAACCCACCTCGGGCACTTCTTTCACCCTTGAAATTAAATACAGGCATTAATAGCAGCAAAGGAAATTCATTTGTTTGTTCGAAATTGTCTGAAAAACAAAAAAATGCGAATTGCTGTCGTTAGAAGATTGTGTTTTATTGAAGGCCGTTATTTAAACGTGTCAGTCGATAAGTCTAATTTAATAAATATTAAAAACGCAGGCCTCATTCTCGAATAGACCATTCCGTTATTTCTGACCAACAATAGTGTAGTTTATCAATAAGAAATGACTTAAACCATTCAAGTTTTTAGTAAGTTTTTATTGATCCAAAAACAGAACTTATTAAAAAAATACAAACTTTTCAACTTTTCTTTCATCTTAAAGAAATTTAAAAAAAATAAAATACAAAACATTTTTTCTCTAGTTTAAATACAAAACATTTTTATAATAACGTGTAAGTATTAAAATATTCAATTATAACATCTATTTTCAAAGAAGGTAACTAGTCCATTACAATCCTCATTGTTGTGTATCCACATCAGTAATTTGATTTCGATATACGAACTCAACAGTTCGGCTATATCATCCACCAATTCTGCTTTATTTATATTGTAACTAGTAAAAGTCATTTCACGAACGAAAGCAAATAATTTTACGATTTTTATCCAAGAAATTCCATCGCAGAATAATTCGTAAGCAACGTCCAAGAAAGTGGTACGAGCCGCAAGTTGTTTGTTTCGTTTGGCAGTCATTTTGTGAAGTTCGTTTCGAAATTCCGTTTTTAATTCGTTTCTGAGCAATCTCAGTGACCTAGTTACTTCACTGGGCCTAGTTGCTGGCTTCTTCCACTCATAACCACGCATCTGTAATCGATAGGATATAGTCATTTACGATATGGCTAATTTCCATTTTATCCGTAATTCCACAGCACCATCGAAAAAAGTTCATCCTGTCAAAACGTGTTCCGAGATGACGGTTAGGGGCGCTAACACTATAAAATTAGACGATGCTTTAAATATTTTCTAGTTTTCGGATTTGTTTAATTAATTAGAATAAATGAATTCATGTAAGAATTTTTGTTCTAATTTAATAAAAATTTATAAATTTTAAGTTTTTTTAAAATATTTTTCTTATATATCAGGGATTGCCAACACGTAGACCGCGGTCGACCGGTCGACCGCAAAGGTTTTGAAAGTAGCCCGCGAAGCTAAAGTTGAACAATTTGCTTTCACTTAAATTAACGTTTAAAAATCTTAATTCGATAATTTATTCTTACAATAATAGACTGTCTGTGCAACGTACCCATACTGTTTGTATTTATCCT